GTTTGTTTGTTTGTTCATTCATTCATTCATACATTATGTATCTGTAAGTGGCACGTATTAATCACCCTAACAAATTTCTTACATATTTCAAACAAAATTGTAAATCTGAAATTACACACTGTACACAAAGACAAAAGGCCATCACTTGATGAGTGATTGGCAGTAGCTTACAGTAAATTTAAACCTGTCCAGTGACAGGATTGGCGCTGAGTGCGTTAACACTGTTTCTCTCAATATTCCACACATAAATGCAAGTAAAATTATTATTCTATCTTTATACAATATAAGGCTCATCTTTTTACTTTGTCACAAAACAAAGCTCATAGGAATTCTCTGCTTATTACACCCAAGTACATACTCTGGCCAGCAGAATGCAACGGTGGTCGCAACTAGAATATGTAATAAAATTGACATCAATAAAAGTGCTAATTTAAATATATTAATCTTGTGTTGACAGAGCTCTCACAATGCCAGAAGATGAACGGACATTACGAATGAATTCTCTTCGTCGCCGTGAGAAGGCCAATGATGTGAACTTCTGGATGAAGTCATTCATGAAACAGATGGGCTCACAAATTGAGGAGGAGGATGCTGATGAGGTCAAGTCTGTCACCATGCATCCAGTGACCATGGATGACTTTGAGGAGTACCTTGCTGAGTAAGTAGATGCATTCTGATACACAGCAAACTAATATTTTATCTTGATTAGGTTAGGTCTGCTTCATGGTGTATAAATTAGACTCTCTTTCCAATATTACACTTCTCAGAGTAGCTTAACACTGGTTATGAAACTTTTAAGAAATACTAAGGAAAAATGCTTGAAGGGATGGAAGTAGAAATTAAATTCTTGTAGGAATTTGAGTTCAGAATTGAAGATAGAAGAGAAATGGTTACAATAGTTTGGTCATATATAAAGAATGAAGAGATCAAGGATACTGAGAAGCGTATAGATATTTGAAGGGGGGGAAAAAGAGATATTTGCGGGATGGTCTAGAAGAAATTGTTCCTTTATAACGGAAGAAAAGCAGTAAGAGAGCTGGCAAGAAAGTGGAAAGACAAGATTGTGGGAAGAAAGAAAGGTTTAAAGATTTTGTCAATGAACCGATATAAAGCAAAAACAGTATTAAGGAAAGAAGAGTAAAATATTATGTCTTATACAACATATAAAATACATGGGCTGCCCCAAGAAATGATATAAATGGGGAAAGAAGGATATTATGTTATGATTTGTGCAATTGGTTTAGTGCTCTTAACCCATCATTGGACACAGATAAGATCAGAGAGTTATGTCACAAGTCTGTCTCAACCTTTACTAGGTAGTGTTATATTTCAGCATCCTGTTGCCCTGTTTAGATCTGACTTTTGGAGCTTTTTGCCATCTGTGTGCAATGTTCACTATTCTTTCTTCGTATGCCACTGTTGGACACTACATGTTTCACCCTAACTAGTCATCTTCAGGTGTACAGATTGTTTTTGTTAAGGATTCTTCTGCACACTATAATGCGCAGACAAGAAAACCGCATTACAGGGCAGCAGATTCCTTAATTACAACAACCTGCACACCTGAAGATGGCCGGTCACGCCAAAACATATAATGGCCAATATAGGTATATGAAGAAAGACCAATAAATGATGTTGTACATAGACAGCACAGAAGCTCCTAAAATCAATCTTTTCTAGGTAGTTTTACCATTTTGGGCATTTGAATAGAATTCCAAGGTCATCCTGTGTGGCACTTAAAGGTGGTCTCAAGGGTAGTGAAATTATGGTGGTTTTATGTTTGTATCTCGGCCAGGAGACCACGTGACCTCACATCATTTGTGATGGTTGGCCTACAGGAATTTAATGCCATGCAATGTGCTACGTAAATATCGACATTTTGGTGGGAATTTACCTGTGTACCACATTCCACAAGACAGTAATGTTAATACTCATTGCCATGGGAACCTCATAATGTGAGGAGGTTTCCCATGATGTTCATGGGTGCTTCAAAATAAGCCAAAACCACTTTGGTCTCAATTTTTTAGTCATCTTCTCACAAGCTACATAACTTATGCAGTTGCGAGAGAGTGGTTAAACAAACTGAGAAGCAGAGTAATGCAGTCTGGAATATTGATCTTGTAAGATTGTTGTGTGAAGTTGAAAACTTATCTTTCCAGCTACATTGGGCAGACGAACAAAGTGGCACTCCTTTTGGATTATGATGGAACGCTTGCACCAATTGCTCCACACCCTGACCTTGCAATTCTCCCAGTGGAAACAAAGAATGTTCTACAGCGGCTCTCGAACATGCCTGATGTATATATCGCAATTGTCTCTGGACGCAATGTGGACAATGTCATGAATATGGTAAGCTTTATTTCACTTTTTGTTGGCAAATGGGAGGTGAAACGGATTATGTGTTAATGGTTTTGCACGTGAACTAAGTAATGTCAACAATGAATTGCTGAACAAATGTATAGTTGGTTAATTTGTTCCATTTTATTATTTCACCTTACATGTTTTAATCCCTTAAGGAATCATCTTCGGAGACATCATTTCTAGAATACTACACAAAGCTGTTGATTATATTGCTGTTCGTTATTGACTTTATTTCCAGTCTGTTCTTTAAGAGATGTAGTCCTATAAAAACACTTAGTTCTGCCCTATGTTACTTTTATATATCCACTTCACTCTTTTAGTCATAACTGTTAGGTGTCTCTTATATTGGCATTGGTCGCGCCATAACTCAAGCAGTTAGTTGCTGGCTTCCCACTGTGGCTGCCCGGGTTTGATCCTGGATCTGGTCAAGTGGGATTTGTCGTGGACAAAGTGGCGCTGGAACAGGTTTTCTCCAAGTATTTCGGTTTCCTCTGCCAATCTTCATTCCACCAATTGCTCCACAATCACCCTCACCTATCATCTGGGGCTGGTACAATAGGCCAGAAGCAGCCGCAGTACAAGGGACGTAGTCCCACCCCACTAGCAAAAAAAAAAAAATATATTGGCATTCCAAAGGTATTATATTTTCTACAATATCAAATTCTTGCTCTCTTTAGGTATATTAGAATGATGAGCTCAGGAGGGATGAGATTGGCAAGGCATGTAGAATTCATGGGAGCAATGTGTACAAAGTCTTGGAAGGAGGTTTGATAATAATACTGAGGTATAAGGCAAAACACTCTGGGAATTTTCATAACATAAATCAAAAAGTTTATACAGATCTTCATGTTGTCAGGTTGGCATTCATAGGGTCATGCTTCTTACTTGCAGGTTGGGATAGAGGGCATAACATATGCTGGAAATCATGGCTTAGAAATCATTCATCCAGATGGGACAAAGTTTGTGCATCCTATCCCTGCCGAACTGGAAGGAAAAGTTCGAGATCTTCTTAAAAGTCTACAGGATCAGGTGTGTTTCAAAGGAAGGTTTTTAACTCTAGAAATGACAGGATCAGTAGGCTCAGTTTCACTCTCAGAAACTGAAACTTTGTATGTTTAAGCACTGAAAAATTTGACTCTCAGAAAAGTCTTTGCTGTCAGAAATTTCACTGTCGTCTTGTAGGGTTAGTGGTAACGTTTTGAGCTTTAAGTTTTTGATAGCACTGACTATGAAGATTAGTGTCTTCTGGGATGTGGTCCCATGTACAGTGAAGCCCCCATTTAAGATTTTTTTTGGGATCAATGGATTTAAACAGCAGACTTATGAAAAATTTTATGGAGGATATTTAACATTGAGATTATTGTCTTGGCATCATTGAAACTGAGCACAAGATGACTGAACACCTTAGATTAAGGAAAGTTAAGTGGAGGGTCCGGTATAATCAATAGATGCTTACCAGTGTTTCAGATGAGCCTGCTGCCTCTATCTTCAGGTTAGAAAAGTGACCTAAGCAGGAATTGGTAGCCATAAAAATTTCTGGTTAAAAAAATGAGTCATAAGAAGGAGGTAGCAAAATGAATGGGAGGAAAGGAGGGAAGTGGGTGGAAAAGGAAAAGAAAGGAGGAAGAAGGCCCTGAAACGGGAAATTATCAGTGGGTTTTAAACAGCGTTATGATAGAGAAACTGATTCGCTCACAACCCCTTTCAAATCCTCCTGTTTATCATATTTTTCATGCCTGGCTTACTCTTTTGTGAAGATGGAAACAGGTATATCTGAAACATAGGTACTTATCTACCAAGCTACATGGCATCATATTCCATGAGACCATAATATTAATATTTGCTGTCAAGAGAATCTCTGCTCTCACATTTGATAATGGTACTTTCAAATAGGAAACTATTAATGGTATATAATTACAGGTATGCAAAGAAGGAGCATGGGTAGAGAACAAAGGAGCCGTTCTCACATTTCATTATCGGGAGACACCCGCGTGCGTGCGTGCTGAACTTGTTCCGCAGGCATGCAAACTCATAGAAAGCCACGGATTTAAGGTCGGTTCATCTCACTGTGCTGTAGAGGCTAGACCCCCTGTGCAGTGGAACAAGGGTCGGGCGTCAATTTACATCCTTCGTACTGCATTTGGTTTTGATTGGAGCGAACGTATCCGCATCATTTATGCTGGTGATGATGTCACTGATGAGGATGCTATGCAGGCAAGTCTCACCAGTTGGCTCAGTGTAATAGTATCATATTGCATAAGTTGTACTCATCTTGTAAATTTGGTCCCTCGGTTTTGTGCAGAAATGAAGAGAAATAAAACACACTTCCCACTCTTGTGCATGAAAGAAGACAGCAAGGAAGAATCTTATCTTGAGCATTGAAAATGCTTAGCAGCAGGTTAAAAGTTTGAGCATGAGGAGCAGGCTTAAGGTATGATTCACAAGAAGCGATTAGAGCTGTGTGATTCCGCCGCACGACTCAAGCTGCAGCGGCTGTGCGATTGCACCATTCCTAAGACGCAGCTGTAATCAGGTAGATTTGGTGCGATTGGTATAATTACTTCCCGATAGTGAGAGGTAAACGCATGGATAAAAGCGGTGTTCTTCGTCTACTGATGCTCAAAGAGGAGGAAGACAAAATTTTACGTCCTGATATTGAACGAGAATGGTGGAAATAGATCTGTGCATGACCTGTTCAAAGCAAGATCGGAGGAGGGATTAAATACCATCCTAAATAATAGGCACCTAATGAAGGATGAATGTGCCACTACTTCAATTAAAACAATGTCTTCTGTGCTTGAAAATGCCATTGTTGTATCTTCTCGAAGTGATGCGACTGTGCGGCTATACTGATCTTGTAGGCAGTCGACCAGGGCCGCACGTCCAGAGACACTGCTGCTGAATAATTTCCTACTGCGCATGTACAGACCGTCGCATCGCCCAGCTGCAAGAGACGCTTCTTGCGAATCATACCTTTAGTAAGGTTCAGTGAAAAGTGAAGCATGACCTTATGAAAATTGTTTCTGTTTGTTTGATGACTGATGTTACACTTTGTTGAAAACTGCTTACTATTTATGCAACTTTTATTTCAAATATATTATAGAATATAACCAAGTTTAACCCTTTGATTTCCAAGCTATCGCAAAACTACCTGCTAGAAACACTGAAGCTACTTGGGTGTAAATGCAGTTGTACAGAAGAATCCACAATATTTCCTTAGATTACTTTCAAAAGTCTTTATTGTCTGCATCCTATTGTGCGTCACAGTACATTTCTTTTGGCCGTCGACACAACACATTTTCAAACAGACCAATTCAATATCACTGAACTAACAGTGGTTTTATTTAGCATCTGCTACATGTTTTGATCATGTTTGGATCATCATCAAGCAGTTTAGCCCTAAGTAAAAGTAAAGCTATCCCTGTAACAGGCCATGAAGGTGCATAAGGTTGTGAGATGTTGAGGGTCCCACATTTTCTCTAGACAGTCGGCTCAAAGATGGCGGTAAGGTTGTCAACCTTACGTACCGGCCATGCTTTATTCCCCAGGAAGTAAAGTAAAAGTAAAGCTATCCCTGTAACAGGCCATGAAGGCACATAGGGTTGTGAGACGTTGAGGGCCTCACACTATCTAGACAATCGGCTCAAAGATGACGGTAAAGTTGTCAGCCTTACACGCCGGCCGCACTTTACTCCCCAGGAAAATTATTTATTTAATTCCTGGTACTCATTTCTGTTAGAGGCTGAGTGAACCCCAGGGCCATAGTGCGGCCGGAAGGGTTAGGTCAATTGAAAAAAATCCAATGACCGAAAATTAATTAATTAATTCCTTGTAGCCCTAAGGATTAACTGTATTATCAAAAATACCAACATATGTTATAACGAGATACAGAAATTGGCAGATTTTTAAAATAATACTAATATGCATCCATATTACGGAAATTGAGTAAGAAGCATGTATTTAAGAAAGTGTCTGACAATGATACAAGTTAGGATTGAAACATAGCAGACACTAAATAAAAACAATTCCAGTACAGTGACACTGAATTGGTTTCCTTGAAAATTTGTTGTGTTGACAGCCGAAAGAAATCACATACCTTCAAATGATCACAGGTATAGATAATATGAAAGTCAATTTTTTTCCTATAAACATTGGTATATCACAATTGATGCCATCTGTTGACAAATGCTGTACTAAGTTATCGACATAGAGCTGATATCTTAATATGTGGCAGTTTGACAAGGCGGATACCGTCATCTCCAAGGTTTAACTGTAGAATGAGGAGTAAGTCGGTTAAGTATGCAGGTTAGACCATAGATGGTTACTCAGACCTACAGGAGAGGGAGGGGAGGTGATTGGTATCTGCCTAAAAGAATACATCAAACCAGGAAGACCTCAAACTCAACAGTTAATTCCATGAAAACTGTGAAATGTATATAATATCTCATGGTTATGACCATCAACACAACAATAAAGTGGAATATCTTCAGGTGAAGACAAAAACAGGTGTTGATATATGTCTTAATTATTTAATATAACATGGATTTCTTGCTACGTGTTTCAACCTATGATTTAGGTCATCATGGGCACCTTCTGTCGTCTGTAACCCAAGTTATTAAAGTTAATTCTCCTGATATAAGTAAATGTTCCCTTGTAAGATTTGAGGCTTTCACGGCGGTGACTATGAAGAAAACAGTCTTCTGGGATTTGGCACCGTGTATACGTGGTGTTAACCGACGTTTCGGAGGAACGTATCGCCTCCATCTTCAGGGTAGAAGAAGTCTGCTTTTACCGGTTCTCACTGTCTCTTCGCTTGCAGATTTCTTATATTTTTCCTTCTACCCTGAAGATGGAGGCGATACGTTCCTCCGAAACGTCGGTTAACACCACGTATACACGGTGCCAAATCCCAGAAGACTGTTTTCTTCAAATGTTCCCTTGTAAGTCATCCCATTCTTTGATTGCAGGTAACACAGGTCTTATTGTGACAGGCTCAGGGAATTCTTCCTGCCAGGAATGGAAGGTTTTAAATTGGACATGTGCATAAATGAGCATCTAAGGTTTATGTTACAGGCCTTGAAAGGTATGGCAGCTACATTCCGTGTTACCTCATCTAGCATCATCCGCACTGCGGCGGAAAGACGCCTGCCAAGCACAGACTCTGTTCTCATGATGCTGAAGTGGTTGGAACGCCACCTGAGCCAGCGCAAGCCTGGAGGGGAAGATACAATGAGGTAGAGTGTCTTTGTACATTTTGGTGAGGTGTATTTGTGTCTGTTTTATATATCCTTGTGTGTTATGGAATTGGGGCATAAGGTGGCCATCTACACAACAACTTAATGAAGTTAATAAAATCAAAGGAAGACTGGTAGCATGTCAGTGTTAATTTCATTATTCTAGGGAATAGCAACAGTAAAAATTAATGTTGACCTATTCCTGTTTACTTGTTTTAATAACTTTCTTAAGAAATTGTTGTGTAAAATGGCCATCTTACACCGTGATACATTTATGTGTTGGTACAGTTTAAATGCCCCACACAGTTACTTGTAGATGTTGAGGAATGGTTTTGATATTTTGGTACTAAGGTAGTGTGAACTGTGAGGGGATTATGGTGGAGGTTGTAGTGTCCAGGTTGAAGACACTAACAGACTGGACCAGTGGTAACTCACCTGACTTGTTTCCAATTGTTTTCAGTTTGAATCTTGGACAGGGCACTAGTTATCCTGGCTTGAGGACTTTATGATTTTCTTCCCTCTTTCTAAATGAGTGTCAGGGTGGCATCTCAAAATAAGTTATGGCTGGTTTGCTCCAATAGCAAATCACTTAAAATAATTCTTGAAGTTTGCGTGGTGATTTTGCAAGATGCATGTGAAATTTGAGATTGTCACAGCTGTGAATATGAAGGTTACTACTGTCTTCTGCATCGTGACACTCTGTAGTCTGGTCGAAAGATGTCAGTGTTTCAGAGAAACTTGGTGCCTCCTTTTTCAGGGCAGAAGAGAGACTTTAACCTTAAAGTAGGCACCATGTTCCTCAGATATGTTAGGATGTTTTTACCAAACTTTACGTTATCACATGCCTGAATATGGTAATCTTTCGATGAATATGTTTTTATGTTTTGGGCTGTTGACACTGTCTTGTGATGGTGTGGCCTGTCAGTATTTTGCAGACGCACTTGTCTTGAAATGGAACTTGTGTCTCTACATGCTGGTTCGCATTGATCCATACTTGCAGATCCATCAGTCGGAACATAAGAATTTCCAAAGCCCACTGGTACTGAGCTACACATATGAGGATCAAGATCAGTTGAAAATTACTTCACTGTCCAGATGGGAGACTGCCTTGTCTTTGAAACACTGCCTAATTTGCCCATCATCACATGGTGGGGGTACATAATTGTTATGATATTTATCTTGATGTAGGATTATTTGAGTTTTCAGTTGGGAACTTTCTCGTGGCATTTATACACATATTCGTTATTTGTTCTGGGTGATAACTTGGTCAGTATAATGGTTCGGCTACTGGCTGGATGACTGGAGAACCAGGATTTGATTCTGGATTGGGAAGAGATTTTTCTTGTCTTCACAATGTCCACACTGGCTTTAGAGCCCACCCAGTCTCCTGTCCAGTGGGTACCGGGGTTATTCCCCAGTGGCACACCAGCCAGGACGTGAAGCTGACCACTCGCCTCCATCTAGTGCTGAGGTTCAAATCGCATGTAGTCTGTTTCCTTGTGTGTCTTCATGGCGTGATGCTTAATTAAGCACAAGGGAAACTTTGCCATTTTTTTTTGTTGTAGGTGTATTTATGTTATTTTTTCAGGTAAATATAGATGTAAATGGAAGTCTGATATTAGAACAGTTCCTATAATTCTGTTTTATATATTTCAATGTTTCTGTATAGCATTGTAAGAGATTTTAATAAATAATTGTTATCAATATAATGTTTACTGGATTTGGTTCATTATCCCTTTCAGTGTTGGATTGTTTCTTGCATGCATACAGTCTTTTACAAAGTTTCTTGCTTGTACTTGTATATTGCCTTTGGTAAATTTCTTTTTCATACAGCCTTTTTCTGAGTTCCTTGTTTGCATACAGCCTTTCTCTGAGTTTCTTTCTTGCATACAGCCTTTTGCTGAGTTTCTCACTTGTATACAGCCTTTTACTGAGTTTCTCACTTGCATATAGCCTTTTGCTGAGTTTCTTACTTGCATACAGCCTTTTGCTGAGTTACTTTGCATACAGTGCTTTGCTGAGTTCTTCTTTACTGAGTTGCTTCAGTATCCCACAGTAAAAAGAAATATATGTCATGGAACAGAATGATGGGCAGGGTTAAATAATTGTGTGGACAGTCAAATGTGACTGACCAGCAATGCATCCGTAACTCAACAGGGCACTGAAGAACAAGATTATTGCTCGAAATTCCAGCAGCTTGAAGGTGGAAATGTCGTTTGTACCGATATCACTGAAAGGGGCTGAAGAGAGTGCTTTGGAGGAAAGTTCAGAAGAACACTAGCAGCCAGTGATCTCAGTGTAGATCATACATGAGACTGAAGATAGATTGCAGCAGGTAATTATTGTCATCTGTCACATTTTCTAACATACTGCAAAAATGTGATGTATCATGCAGCTTCTTTTTTTCCAGAAATACAGGCTTCCAGTGGATTACATTTCCTAATGTGGAGTTGTACTATTGTATTTTGTTGTATCAACTTTTGGACCTGCACATCTGTATCACAAATACTGGACCTCTATCTTCCTTGTCACAAGTTCAGGACTCTACATATTTTGTACCAAAAATTGTTGTACTTTTAGTTCTACATCAGAATTTCTGTAACTGTACATCTGGAATGCTGCATCTTAAGGCTTATACATCTTTCACGTCACAGATTTTTAATATGTACAGCCTATGTATCACAAATTTCAGATTGATACATCTTTCAAATTTTGGACACAAGTGTCAGATCTGTGCATGTACAATATGTACACTCAGCTATATGTAGGAATCAGTTTACCAGTTTTCAGGGAATGAGGTTCATTAGAAGTCACCCCAGTCTTATACTTAATTTCCTACAGCTGGTGATGACAACATGGCAGATGCACAAGCTTGTTATCAGCTTAAGTTTTGATTCAAAAGTTATGTGAATCCTGACATCTGTAGCATCTTAAGCTCGATTTTGACTTTTGATAACTTAAAAGTACTGTATCAAGTTTTGTGTATGCCCATTTCTCATCAAGATTGTCCATCACAGACTGTTGTAACAACTGTGGTCACAAGTTCCTTGCTCGTAATTGTGGTTATGATGTACATATATGCTGTAATGTGATAGCTTTATGTAAAAGAAATATAATATGTAAGATTTGAGGCTTTCATGGCGGTGACTATGAAGAAAGCAGTCTTCCTCCGAAACGTCGGTTAACACCACATATACACGGTGCCAAATCCCAGAAGACTGCTTTCTTCGAAATATAATATGTTTTCCATATGTGCATATTGTTTCTATTTTTGTGTATGACTGTTATATATCAGATTGAATACAAATTTATGTAAACTTTCTTAGAAACTTTGCATTTCAAATCAGATATTGAGATTAATAATTTACTATACAACCCTTTTCCTTGTTCATGAGGAAGAGTATGTCATTGAGGTATGTTAACCAGTATTTACCATCAGAATTTTAATATCAGTGCGCTGTTTCATCCCTGAGCAATTATGTATATAATAGGATATGGTTTATGATTTACTGTGTATGTGGTATTCATGAATTTGGATCAGTAGTAGTAAAGAACATGACCAGAAAATATCAGTATGCTTCAGTTGGTATTTCAGATCTTTGCTGAAAGTTTACAAGTAGATAAGAGAAACACACTACTTGCATATTTTGGGTTCAAGAATCAGCCAAGCAGCAAGCAGAGCTCTGTTTTACTGAGGTTACCTTGCAGTAGTCACAGATCTATGGAAATGTTATTAGTCAGAAGTACAGGAATCTGTTCATGAGAGATTGCAATTAAGAGGAAAGGGTATTTTTGAAAGAAAAAAAACTGTAATGGTGAAGTTACTGTCATACTGAAATTTATAAAAAAAATGCATTTTAAACACTGAAAATGATGCGTTAGATATTTTATTAAGTCCAGTTAATAGAATTTATTTAGACATCTTATGTTGTCAAGGTTTTTTTTAGAATGCTAATAATGTAAAGTAATGCTATGCCGTTTGTTTAAGGATGAATATAAGAAATTAACTAGTACATTATTAGCTCAAATTTTGGGAAATATTTAATGACTTTAGAAGCAAGATGGTTTACAATACACATTGTATGTTGTGAAACTGTGAGATTTTGTACTCTTGTCTTCTTGGATATGATAGGTTGGAGGAACCGTACACCTATAAATAAGGAGCTGACAGGGACAGACTTTTTTTATTCTCCACACCAGCTCTGGGGCCCACCCAGCCTCCTGTACAATGGGCACTTTGCACTCTTTCCTTGGGGGTAGAGTGGCTGGAGCATGAAGTTCACTACTCGCCTCCCTCTAATTCCAAATTTGGTTGAACTGTACCTCCAGTCCCCCATACATCTTCATGGTGTGGTGCTTAATTAATTAAGCATGAGGATATATTTTTAACTTATCTGTATTGTTTGATTGTCTTTCTGTAGAGAGCAGGGGAATGTTATTCTTAACTTACATAAAATTACTGTGGAAGAGTAAAATAATGGAAAATGGTGTACAAAACGAAATACTTTTATTGGCTACTCTTCAGTCTAGTTTTATTACAAAAATGTATTAGACCAGTTTTAGCCAAAATACAGTATTAAAAAAAAAGAAGAAAAAAAAAAAGGAAAACTTATGGCAGGCATTAGAAACTGCTCCAATGAAATCCATGCTAATTGATTGAACAGTACATCACAGGACAGTATATAATATAATGCATTCAAGGAATATGTAAACAGTATCTAAAAACTTCTTTGGGGGTGCATCATTGCACCGTTATTAGAAAATTACTAGATTCTGTTTTCAGTGTATGACTACCCAAAATCACTACACATCAAGATCTTGTTGAAGTCATGGAACTTTTCTTCTATTATGTTGCCTACTCAAGGTATGATGCACCTTCAAAGATATTTAAGCCCCAAAAATAGTCATCATGAAACACCTTATATAAATACTTGTAACACTAAACACTTTGACTGTTGATTCTTCAAATCACATACATATGTTACAAAAAACATTCAGTTCATTTGTTTCTTGTAGGCCACATTACATCTTATGAGCAACTGTAATCATTTTAAGCACAATGTTTTGTAACATTCTCTCAAGGCGGCATATGCCAGGATAGTACCTCAAATTAGGCCACTACTCATTCACTGCCTATCCCATCAACTGACACTGCAGTTTAATGCATATCACTGCCAATCCTGTTAAGTGACAGGCTCTTATCACTGTGTATGTAAATGTCACTTTCCCCTATAGGTGTCACCCACGTGGAGACAAATTGTTGCAGCTTGTCAAAGCAAGGAGTTCAGAAATACAACTGCCAAATGATTTTCATGTGTTCTGTTCCATTTTGAATTTAGTATTTGAAATCTAGTTTTTGTGGAAAATGGCAGGCCCAGCAGCTGAAACTGAAATGTGGGGGTAAAGGTAAAGTTGTCCCTGTGCTTAACCAATTAAGCAAAACACAATGAAGGCGTATGGGGGAGTGGATGTATAGATCCACATTTTCTTGACCTTGACACTAGCTGGAGGTGAGTGGTCAGTTTCATGCCTTGGCTGCTTTATCCATGGGGAAAGAGCCCCCAATACCCATTGGATAAGGAGGTTGGGTGGACCCCAGAGCCGATCTGGACAACATGGAGAAGTGAAAATTCTTTACTCTTCCAGGACTTGAACTCTGACCCCTTTGTCGTCCAACTATACTGACTGCACTGTCCTGGCTCACGAAGTGTGGGTGTATAGTGATAAATGTGTGGGCTTATAATTGGAGGGAAGAGTCTGTTCCTGCTGGCAAATGGTACAGTAACACGGCAGGGCCATGCCATAGCTCAGATGGTCAGTTTCTGGCTTCCCATTATGGCAGTCTGGGTTTGATTCCAGCTCAGACCATGTGGAATTTGTGGACAAAGTCACTCTGGGGCAGGTTCTCTCCAGGTACTTCAGTTTCCCCTGCTAATTCTTATTTCACCAACTGCTTCACATAATTACTCATCCTCTTATTGGTGCTATATAGTCTTGATAGTGATAGCATCTTCAGATAACCAGATTAAAAAAAATATTTATTGAGTCCTTGGTGTTTCATTTTAAACAGTAGAATTTTGCTTAAATGGAACAAACAGAACTTTATCTCGACAACAAAAAAAGTTAAGTCATGTGATAGTTGAGAGAGAAAACAGGTTGTACAAGGGTTGAAAGGTGACTCAAATGGCATTGTTTGACTCTTCACTATATGACAACTGTTGCTATACACAAGTCGTAGTCTTGTTCAGATCCTAGAACAGTTAGATGTGTCAACAGACTCATATTACATAATTCTGAAGGTTATGATGATGGTGTATTAATTACTGTTTGAATTTTTGTCATCTAGAATTCTGAAGAAAACAGATCTTGGAAATGGCATTTGTTTCTCCATCATTAGTTGAAAGATGGGGAGGCAGCTATTCATTTAGGAAGATCTAATATTGATCACTGTCCAGTGATTGTGGTTATCTTGTTCTAATTAGTTTTATTATTAAGGGCATATAGGATTTTGCCACCCAGAAGGATGGTGTAGTGGTGATGTTCTCGATTTATATATGGGACATGCTCAGTTCAATTCTTTGCTGGGATACCAACTATCCTGAGGATTTTCATGGTTTTCTTCAGTTCTTCCAGTAAAATTCTGGGATAAGTACTTTGATTAGGCCGCAGCTGCTTACTTCCATAGCCCTCCCAAATCATCAATCATCCTCTCACTGAATGCTGTACAACCTAAGGTACTGAGAGTATTATAAATAAAGCACAAAGTTTTTGCTTACATACAGGGCTGTATTTGTGGTGTTCAATAGATCAGATTGTTACTTTTAAACCCAAATAATAAGATATTTTCTTTTTATATGTAATATATTAATATAACTCCATATGTATTTATAGAGTCTTGAGAAGACTGCAAGAGTCCATTTACTTGTACAAATTCCCTCTGACATCTGGTGAAAGAACTACTAATCCAGTATATTTGAATTTTTGATTGGCATATCAATACCAGAAGTACACTGAAAATACAGTGACTTTGTAATGAAGATGTAACAATCTGTCACCATCAAAATGTTCTAGGCAGTCTATTATATATCACCTGCTTTAATATTAAAATACTTTGCATTTTCCCCATACAATATGTATGTGTTTCATATAATTCTCAGAATACACAGTGATTATTTCTCTAAACAGCAGTAATTGATGGGTCTATGTAATGGGGCCTCACTGTATTTTCTTTGTGGTAGGGACTGAATTTTTAAATAGTACTGAGAAGAATAAATTGTTGGTTTGAAGGTGTTACACCAGAAGTGCCTTTAATCAATATTTGTATTGTCAGTGTCTGTTTTCTCACTGATGTAAAACTGGCCACATGAGGTTCATATTGAAGGTGATGACTGTACAGGATTTTGATACTAATGAATAGTACAAGTGATTAAAATGTTTTCAGTACCACTGAAGAACATATAAATAATGACATACTGACTGGGTGAAGCATGCCTTAGTGATACAACAGAATGAGGTCCTGTGAAAACTTCCAATAGTTTGTTATCATATAAGAATAAATGTACATAAAAGCCATTTTTAGCATATAAAACAAGTTGGTATATTTCATGTCAAAGTGCATTTGTCCTGTAAGAATTCACGTTTTATATTACTATATTTACAATATTACAGTACTTAATTTGATCAAAATTTCCAGACCATATATTTAACATACCAGTCCAACAAATTATCTCGGTTATTACATTGTGATATGGGTAGACAAATGTTCATTCAGTTCACAAGTCACACAAAAATTGTTTGCCAGACATTTCTCCACATGATAGACCTTGCCCACCCTTGCCACCGCAGTTGCTTCACACCAGCCCACTGACCCTCACATAACATTTAGGGCATATAAAATAGTCTCTCATATTGTATACTGTGCATACAAGATAACATATGCTGTACAAGTTTTCTGAGCAACACCTGTAGAAAACTAAAAAGAATGGGAGAGAGTTTTAACAAGTGAATTCAAAGCTATTTCCACTTGCCAGCCTTGAGTTTTCATTTGTCGTGGACAAGTAGATGAGTGGATTTGTTGAGCCCTGATCATAGATGTCCTGTCACATTTATTAGCATATACTAGTATGAGTTTCTTCTACGTCCCCTTAATGTATACAGTCACAGTGTTTATATTTTATTTATTTTAACTGTAGAGTGCTAAACATAAAAGAGAGGAGTGGGGTGGTTCGCTTACTACACATCTGTAAAATTCACAATTTAGACAGATATTTATTTTCACATAATTATGAAACATTTGTTCTCAGCAGTCAATTACTTAATAGTATAACAAATTAAAATAAAAAATGTACTTCATCACAGTACAATAGTGTGTTCTGTGAACACAGCAATTCTTGAAACATACAGTTTTATGTGGTTTTCTTTAAGAACAAAAAGAATGTGTTGTTCTGAAATTTGGCCAGAAATTATATCACTGCAGTTAATGTCTTCTCATATGATCAGTCACATCAATATGGAATTAGTATCCAGTGATTTGGAGACATTCCCCAATTTCCATCTTTAGGTTGATGGAGACAGTCTCTGAATCACTGGATATCAAGCCCAGAACACATCTGATCACCTGATATGACTTCAATGCATACAGTCTTTGTAAATGCTTGAAATAAGATATTAAGCTAAATGAAGCATGTCATTTGATGGATTTTATGTATACTGTTTTTTCTCCTGCATTCATACTATATGCATACTTGTATATTTTGGAATTTCATCAGACCCCCCTTCCTTAGAAGTGCAAAAATAGTTAAAAAAATTGTACTAAATCTTGTAAACAATAAAGAAGAAAACCATAAAATTAATGGCAACATAGACAGTATGCATCCAGCCAACATGATCTGTACAGTTCATAATTGTGCCTCATTCTGCAAATAAAGTCGACACTATAAAGCTAGGATCTTAACAGAAAACCTGGACTAGGAAGACATTATGCATAGAGATTATAGTAGTATGATTTCAAGTAATAATTTTTTATGAACTGCATAGCAGCCCTCTACTGGACACAAAAAGAAATAGGCAGTACATTTTAAAAATAAATACTTACTGATTTTAGGCTCTTATGGTGGTTCATTGTATATTCTTCTCTCAAGTATTTGCACATGTGAATGTGGTAGTGTTGTCAGTGTTTCAGAGATACATGCTGCCTCCATCTTCAAGATGGGAGTAGGGTAAGTTAGTGATAATGTATATAGAGACATGCCCAAATATTCACCAGCAACTCTGCTTGCTCCCTGCTTCATTCTGGTTTCTTGCTTGGCTTACTGTTAGGCCCTAAAGGTGGAGGCAACATGTTCCTCTGAAATGTCGATCAACTTGCATTGGATTATATTGGGAAGCACAATAGATAATTGAAGGTCATGGTGCAAGGAACAGTCATACCATGTTGAACACACCGGTTCTCATTTGTTCATTGGATAGTATGTATGGTGTTATATCCCAGAAAACAAACTCTTGATTGAATTTGCTCAGGAATCTCGTTAAATGGGAAGTATGGGAATTTGTGTGTTCTGTAAAAGGGAATATCTTGACTAACTAAATACTGAACTGTATAAAAGAGACTCTTTTACCATAAAATCAGTCCTTCTGTAGCTGATTTTTTAAATGGTTTTCATTACCAAAGTACAGAGATAATACAATCAGGAACAAGTTTGTTGATCCGTAATTGTTTTTAACAACAGCACTACATTCAAAACAAAACTCCACACCAGTGTGTGTTACCATTACAGAAAGTCATCTCACCTGTGATTTTCAGTTTAGTCACGCTGGAAAGAGGTACTGTATTTTCTGGACTGTAAGACATACCAGAGTAAAAAGCACCCAGATTTTTTAGGGACAATTTTGGGGTGGAAAAAACTGATATGCTTTGAGACTATAATGCATGCAGATTTTAGGCATCATTTTTTCAGGGGAAGGAAGTATGTCTTACAGGCCAGAAAACATATGCTTATTTCTAAAGATACAAAAGTAAATCAATGAGTTGTGCATTACCCATATTCATGGCATCAGAATTTGGACATTACACCACTTCATATATAAATATAGTATTAATTTTACTTTAAACTCTGACTCTGTATTTAAGATAGTAATTTCTAGCAGTTATCTTTTTGCTACGGAATTTATTCAGAGCAAAAGATATTATAACCTCGAACAGTCCGGCCATAATGAATGGCATCTTTTTCTCTACAGTAGGGTTCGATAATCCATAACAACAAAGTATTATGCCACTGGGAAAATAAATTCTTTGTTTCATCTTGCCAGCATAATGAGGCAAATTTCCACTTTTAGCAAACTTAAACAAAATACCAGTTTTTGTATAAAACGTTAATGAAAGCATTCACACTGTGTTTAGGACAGTGATAGTGTACTAACATTCTAGTATGTAGATATGTCTTTTGGGATGTGATTCCCTACAGTCTGGTAGATACATACTGGAGAAACGTTTTGGAGGAACCTATTGCCCCACTTTCAGAGCAGGCTGTGCACAGTAGAGCCTTAAGCTGGAAGCACTGGTTCCTCTGAAAAGCTGCTACCATTCTACCAAACAATGCAGCATCATATCCGAGGAGACCATACTATTCGTACTCACCAACATGAGAACCTTAACTGTAGTTACAGAACTAACTCTATTTAGCTTCCTTGTTTGATGTGTTCCAATCTTGTGATGTTCCAGACAATGCATCTAAACAGTATAACATAAAATCAAAGATCATATGCCAAGCTTAAAAACCTAAATGCAGTGTATATACAGATGTCCTGTAAGTCTCAAACCATGGACAATTTACATTTTTCTCCTTTCGTCACAGTTGTATGCGATGGCATCAAATAAATCAATTATGTGGAAATATTTCTGCTGTGTGGAGGTCACAGCCAGTGAGAAGTTGTGTGAATGGTGGACATACTGGGCATATTTGTATCAAAACTCAATTATTGCCTATGGTAAACTTAATTACTGTTGGTCATATAGCATCAGTATATAGTGAAGTTAAATTGCAATTCAGAGGATCAACACATTCACACCAGGGCAACCCAGTGGTAAGTTCTCTGTAAGCTACTACATAGGGTGATGTATGTTGGCCCCAGTCAATAGGGGTAGTTCTTATCTCAGGATACCAGCACCANGAACAAAACAACTTAAAAGCAGGCCTCTAACTCACCAATCAACTCTTCACTTCCCTGCACCACAATGCACTAACTCAGAGAGACCAGACTCTCCTAACTGTCCTGATTATAACATTTTGGCATGGATTTAACAGAAAACACTGTTCCTCTGTTGCTGCGTGGACAGTGCAGAAAACACTGTCTTCACTGTTAGTCCACTGGTGCATGTTAGGAATTTGCTGCCTAGCAGCAGGCAATGTTTACACAGTTATTACTTAGCAATGAGTCTACATGCTACAATATTAAAGAAATACACTAAAGTGGGCCCCAGTCAATAGGGGTAGTTCTTATCTCAGGATACCAGCACCAACACAGATAGGCTGGTTTAATATATACTAGCTCTAGCGACTGGGCCGAATGAAGTAGTTTACACTTGAAGATGGAGACAGAATCCAGTCCCCAAAACGTTGTACGTTTTAATTAAAAAAACATGACGATGGATAACGTCCAGAAACACAATGACCGTGGTAATATACAATTGTCACAAACTTTTAAATGTTATTTATAATAAAGCTGTTTGAATGTGCTTATCACCCTGTTACAACTTCTGTAATTAATTAAGGAGGGAAATATTAAGAGTTATACACTTAAATATTTACAACAGATGATGTGAGCCACAGGCAGCACAAATAAATGAAAATTAATTACTACTGAAAAATAGGAATCATTATCCTTTTCAAGCACTGCGTTCAGTTGACATATTATGGACATTATAAAACAATTTTTCAGTATGATTTCCAAATTCTGTGGTACAAGGTTAGATAATCTGTCACCATTTCATTTCTTTTAATGATTATAAGGAACATAACATGCCTTTCCTTTCATGAAGCACACTTCAGCTAACATTAACATTCACTTCAGGGCCGTGCCATAGCTCAAGCGGTTAGTTGCTGGCTTCCCACTGCGGCGGTCCGGGTTCGATCCCGGGTCTGGTCAAGTGGGATTTGTGGTGGACAAAGTGGTGCTGGGGCAGGTTTTCTCCGAGTACTTCGGTTTCCCCTGCCAATCTTCATTCCACCAATTGCTCCACAATCACCCTCACCTGTAATCTGGGGCTGGTACAATAGGCCAGAAGTGGCCACAGTACAAGGGACTTAGTCCTACCCCACTAGCAAAAAAAAATCACTTCCATGCTCTAACATTGGGATTTTACCCACTGGGCCAGCTGTTTTTCTAGGAAAACCAAAATTTGAACTTAGCACATTTGAAATGGAAATGGAACACAAAAGAAATAATCACTGTATATTCTGACTCTTCAAGCTTTGAAAGCTACACTTAAAAATTCCTATGCATCCGAATGACGTCTGTTTGAACAAATTACATTTACATATGCAGTGGCCTCTCACTTGATGGGATCGGCACTTCTGTTAAATATTTACCAAATGTGTTTGTACTTGTATTCACATAGTTTGGCAGGAGAGGAATGCAGCAAGATAACAGTTCATCAGTTATTTAGCAATGCTATGTCAACTGCAGTGGATATATATATCAACAGAGAGAGGATGATAATCATGAACTGTGGGCATATAAATATTTGAAGGTGGTAGTTACGGCCAATTTGAAGGTACTATTATGACATGCATGAAAACTCATAGGGAAACCATACAGAACTTCTTGTCAGGTTAGCCAATAACCTTGCAAAGATCTGAAATATAAATTGTCACTACTTCAACCTATTCAAGGAGACTTGAAAGAAGTAAATATGATATATTACATCATTTTAGGACATATTTCTGAAATAATGTAACAGAACAAAGCAGCTGGAAAAAGGTGCATAATGGCAGACCTTATCTGTGGTACATCAACACAAATTCAGTTGAGATAAAAATTATGAAATTCAGCCTGTTTATTGGCTATATTCCTATTCTGTGTGGCCTTCTTCAGTAGCTCCATGCAAATGCTAAGATACTGTACCCTCAAGCAGGTCATGACATATTAAAACATTGTGTACAGGTTCTATATCCCTAAAACTGTAACTCAAAAAGTTCATGTTCAACTGAAGAACACCTTGCCCGATGTGTATAACTGTTATTTGCAAGCTCTGACAGACAAACTAAAATATATACATACATATGTTTTAAAACCAGACCCCCACAGTTTTATAGACATCTGTAACTTAAAAAAAACACTGAGTCAATCATGATACAAAAATGGAAAGGAGCAGACAAGTTTGGTGATATAATTATTGTGCGACAATTTTTCATGTTGAAAGTAATTTGGTCAGGACCAATGTTCACCATAAGCACACTTTGGTTCCTTGACTATTGGACCAAATATAAAATAATCTCAACCTTTACACCACATTCATCACATACCCAAACCTTTTAGCTGCTTGGGTGACCTCTTGTGTATATGCGTGTGCAAACACCGGGAATGCTAGTGTTGTAGTAAGGGAATCATTGTGCTCCTCAAGAGAATTCTGCGCATAATGAAGCACAAGTAACTTGAGCGATTCATATATGTTGTAAGGTTCAGCAAACCCGTAGCCACGTTCTGTTTCATATATGATGCAATGGTTTGTAGTGCCATTGCAAGTTATGGACAGGGCGTATTGTCCTGTGCGACTGGGACGAACTAAAAATGTGCCATCAGGTTGACCGGCCAGCAAACGTTCTGCTTCTGTCCGTGAACACTCTGGCAGGAGCCATGTTGTCTCATCCTGATGCGGCAGGTTGTCCAGATCTTCGTCATCTTGGTCAAGGTCATCAAATGCCCACGGAGTAGACCCATCTGAGGCCAGGAACTGAGAAATGCGCTGATGCTTCACCCCCCGCGATTTGAGCCATGTTTGGTAGCGTTCTTGCTGCCTGAATAGCTGAATTATGTCCGGTTTTAAAGAGTGCATCTCACGTTCTAGCGTGCGGTTGAAAGCTCTTTCCTGCTTTAGGTTCTCTTCCAGCTGTCTGCGACTCTCTTCTAAGCACTGAAGACGTTGCTTTAGCATATCTGCATTGTCTTCCAAACTTTTAATTTCATGGGGCTGTGCCTCACGCTGATACTTCTCTTGAATTCTTATTTGTTCCTCAAACATAGCCACGGCTCCTCTGAAGGCATCTAAGGCTTGATGTTTCAGCTGTATATCTTGTGAGGAACGTAAGAAATCTTCAGAGTACTCATCGTACATCCGTGTCTTGGACATGTACTCCTTATGGATTTCCACTAATTTCTGTGCCACGTTGCTGATGTCAGTCATACTTGAGATCTCATCATCTTGTTGCAATCGTGACACTGGATATAGAAGTTTTATATCCAGAGTTGAATTGTACTGTGCCAGAGATGTGGTTCGATAATGGTTTACCAGCTCCACGACAGAATTAAATTTGAATGGTTCCGAGAAACCGTATTTGCCATTACGATGACTGATCTTGATCAACTTATTTGTGCCACCCTTACGGAGTGTTAATGTATACTCTCCACCTTTACTGGATGCGTTGCGTACTAGAAATGTGCCATCTGGTGTATCCATCAACTTTTCATTCACTTCTTCCCGTGTAATACCACCCCAGTACCACTCCGCTTCCTGAAGTGACAGAGGGAGCTCGTTAGGTGCCTTATCTTTCTCTGCCTCCACTTCAACGGTTGGTGTAGGGTGTGAGCACGAGGCCTTACGTGGAGGCAACGCTGGAGCTGGGATGCTGTCGGGCAGTCTTTCCTTCCTCTCTACTTCCAACTCAATCTCATCAGAGTGAGGATGTGACCGGGATACTTTACGGGGTGGAAGGGCGGGTGCTGATGCTATGTCTGGTAACGCATACTCCCCTCCTTTATTTGATGTACCTTCTGTGGTATCCATCAATTCGGTTTGTATTTCTCTTCCATAAAACTGTTCACACTACAAGATAAGATCTGACAGTTTTGTGGCATTCTTCTCTGTCTCAAAATGCAAAGAGACAGTAACTGAGAATAATACCAGAAACAAAATGGAGTCACAGAGTTTCTTGCAGCATTCACCAGGTACAACTAACAACTCCATACCACACATATAAGTCTTTCTCTTGAAAACTGTCTTGCACACTTCTGGAAATACCTGACACAAAAATAAAATGAGGATTTAGGATATTCCCATGCCCCATGGAACAAGCTGAATTTAGCATAAATGGAGAATATCCACCAGAAGGGATAAACATTGTGCAAAATTATGATTTAACAATGCTTAGTTAATTTCACTGGTACATCACATACTTTGAAAGTTTCTGTAATTACATATCTATACTGTCAGGCATTGTAGCAATAAGATCTTGAACTCTTCCTAATATAATTTCATTCCCACTCAGACACTGGTCTTTGCCGTATGGCGGATGAATCTGTAAAGCATCTCTAAGTCGCAGAAGTTCACCGTCTTCTTCAACCGGGATCCTGTTCTTACATAGCCAATTTTTTAATTTTTCCTTCCTCTGTGCTACTTCTTCTTTACTAATATTAACAGAAACTGGAGAGAAAACTTCTTCAGGAATAATACAAACATCAGCTGAACTTATGGCAAGAGATTTGACGGCATGTCCCATGATAATATCCATGCAGGTGTTCCCATTCTTCTGTGTCATTAGCACAACACTGAAACAAAAATCGGTATGAAAATACATACATAT